AATAAGGCTAATAATTACTTCGATAGGTTTGTTTAATAATTTCGGATAGCTATTGTATTGAATTCAATATAAGTGATGTGAATGATGCAGTGATAGTGGAGATAAGCCATCGTTTTGAACATAGATAAAAAAAGTGGGTGTAAAATTTAACGCTTTAACATTTTACTTACTGCGACCGATCTTGAGGCTCGTCTTTCCATATTTATCATGCCTTCCACTACTCTGCTTCCACGGCGCTCAGATGAACGCGCCGCTGCATGAGCATCTTCTGCTGAAAGCGGATTCAGGGTTTCAGGAATACGCAAATCTTCTGATGAAGTCAGTAATTCCAGCAGAGGGTCGCCTTCTGTTGCATATTGATGGAACAAAAGATTGTCAACAGGATATGCGAGTGAAACGCGACGATCATGACTACTACCGGTAGCAGCTTGAGTGTCCGGCATAGCATGCTGCAGATCGACCATCCAGAGGCTTATTGTCAAATTACGCTCCATCAATGGTATGAGGTCAAAATCCTCATCATCGTCCCCGAATGGATTAAGGAGAGATTGAGCTACCTTCAACCATCCCAAATAAAAAGCAACTTGCAAAAGACAAAAAATAGGCACATATATTATTGGGACTGGTGGGTCCGTCGTCTCAGATGATGTCAATGTGAATTGCGGATTACTCATGTTGACTGTCAGGTTGGATGGAATTTGAGGCAGCACCTTGACAAATTGTCCAGAGATGAGTGAAACCACCACGAACGCATAGACTCCAATGTTAACGACCTGTCAGGAAAAAAAAGTTCAGGATATAACACCAGTCGAATGAATCTAAGGAGGTACTTTCTTTTAAAAATAACAGAAATATTATTTTCAAAACAAGAAGCCATTAAAGCAATTGTTAGGAATTCTGACGTCGTTCTTCATAAATACATGAGTAGCAACTGCCTAATCAATATCTTTATGGTAGTCTAGCGGTTAGGGCGTTGACCACCAGTGAAGGCCTTCTCTGATACGCGGGTTCAAATCCCGCCGAACGCCTGGAGTTTTTCATAATTGGGTCAACTTAAATTAAGCAAATCTGCCAAACCTCCTAATAATTAAGTCAGCTTAGTCGTCATTCTGGTGGATTCTAGATGATTGCTTAGGAAATCCTACTTGGGCAGTCGCCTGCTGTTCCGTATTGGTGGATTTCATATGGGCGGTAAAGTTAGGTGGGTAATATCGACCCACGTGTGATTAAATTCATGGCGCGAGGCGGGGCGTTTGCAGCTTAGCGGTTAGGGCGTTGGCCGCCGGTAAAGGCCTTCTCTGATACGCGGGTTCAAATCCCGCAGAACGCCTCGAGGTGTTTCACAATTGGGTCAACTCAAATTGGGCGAATCTGCCAAACTTCCTGATAACTTTATGGTACTGTTTAAAATGAACATATGTGAAAAAATGCGTCGAGCAATGTTTTAAACTGCGAAAAAATAATGGAAACTAAGAGGATTAATTGCTAACCTGTGTATAAACCAGTGGAACAGGGACACGTTCATAATTGGTCAGAGCGAAAAGACGGCGACGGAACTTCCGAATTTCTTGAATTAAATCAATTAAGAAATGTTCGTGAGCTATAAATCCGTTAGCGTATGCTTGTTTGAGGACGGTGATGCTCCACATGAGTGGTATATAGAATGGGCTAAATCGGGGGTCTACCTGCCCAAAAAATTCAAGCTCACGCTCCGTCATGAAACCGCTTGACACAAAGCTTGCTGGATTCTGATATATTTCTTTTACATTTGGGGCAATATCCTGAAAACAGAGCACCGATGCAAGATTTACGTAACGCGTCACTGTTTGTCGTATTGTCGCAACCGCATCGTTAAGAACGGATTGGTCCCCGGGAGATTGCACGTTCTTAGGAGTTTGTACAAAAGAACACACAAGAAGGCTCACGCCATCAGGCGTCGGAAGACAATTAAATTGATCTCTCCATCGCTTAACGACAAGGCTGACGAAAAAGCCGAGAATGAATGAAAGTGGAATATAATTCGTATTCAGGCTGACGTATGCATGAAAGTTACTAATTTGTCGATGCAGTTCCAGCAACTCTGGGGACGTTATTGGTATGAGATGATAAGCAAGCGCGATAGTGGAATAAAAGATACAAAAAATCAGTAAATCGGCCCAGATAAGCTTGTAAATACTGCCTTTCCACCTTCCTAGCAATCGGAATAACGCACTGTGCGAAGCAGTGGCCACAGCACTGGAATAGGAGACAGTCATTGCTTCTTTGAGTATAAAAATTCGACTAAGAAACCTTCACTAAGAAGAAACTAAACCGCCGGTACAAACCCGCGTGACCCCAAATTAGGCAATGTGATGAATTAAAACAAAGCATAAGGTCACAGCACAGACAGTTACGACAGATTTTTATATTTATACTCACAGATTTCCAATTGAAACAGTTACTTCAACAATCATATAACATATGTGTACGACGCGGACGTTTCAAGGGAAAAGTCGACTCCATGAGTGATCTAATATATTGAATGGGCGCGATAGATTGCATTCGAAAATAATATGAAGAAGAATGTCGAAGATGAAAGTAGGCCTCATCCTCTCCCCTCGTTCTGTGCTCCACCGTTATTCTGTGGCTACCGCCCCCTCCAGTCTTTAAACTTCGGTTGCCTGTATGTCCATCTTAACTGTCCGCCTCAACGGGTCTAAAGTGAACATCTCACTTTCCGCTTTGTTCATTACGACGAACAAAGGGCTGGTTTTACCTGCTAGAGAATTCGCAAACCACCTCAATTTTTTCTTTCTATTTTCAATCTTCATGACCAAATATAATTTGGCAAATGTTTGATATTCGGTTTTTAACATTCACCTTCGCAAGGCTATGTAAGTATATTTCCTTAGTGATTGCTTGAAAAGTTTATTTTTCCTGGAAGACTTATAAATTCATGGAACCATAAGTACCAATGATCAGCCCATTTGGCAGAATACTGATATCTTAATCCCCACGAAACGTGTGACTTCTTGAGTTAGAATGTTAATGATTTTTCTGAAAGACTGTATACCGATTGGATCTACTAATTTCTCGTTTCGTTCGCCGTAAGAAAATAAATAGTGTCACTGATGAAGTTTAGCTCCCTTAATTTTTCTGCCGTAGATTGGGTAATCTCTCTAGTATTTTCTATATGCAAAATGATGTTTCTGATATGCACTTGGTGTGACTTACCTTTGCGTAAGCCTAGAGACTTTCTGAAGAACAACCAGTAGCCGATTATGTCATCCTTGACGGAAACCGTTCTATATGTGTTGCTAAACTCTTCTCAAGCACTGTAAGAGCTAATACCGTACTTTGAGATGCCTTAGGGAAATCAGTAGCTCACTCCATGCTGACGGCTAATAGTGTCAAAGCTTTATCGTCCAGAAACTTTTACGCATTGGTTGCCCAACTTCAGACGATCTGGGTTTGGACCTGTGCCGTATTCTGGAACGTGACCAAAGCATTGGACTTGTTCGTCAATGTCATATTCATGGATCAGATGTTGTCCCATTCAGCATTTTAAAGGCTGAAACTAACGATATTTTTCCATCCCTTCCGTGCAAGTTATTCAATCACGGCTTCCATAGCTTAAACCTTCCCAAATTATGAAGAGAATCGCAGATTTTGCCTATCCCCATACAGGGCCAATCTACGTCATTCGCGACTGCAAATCAATAAACACTTTCCGCAGCTGCGAATGACCCACTGAGAACCCTGTGGTAAGAGTACTTGTCTAACTCTGCAGAATGCAGTCTAACACTATATATACGTTTAACGTGATAGAGAAGACAAACAATGTATAGTATGTAAGATATTAAGGAAAAGGCTTAC